TAAGGATGACAGGTGGAGTTATTGCTTGTAGTGTACTACACAGCAGAATTACTACGTTGTTTCTTGGACTTTAACGGGTGGGCTCACATGTTCTCTGTACTGTGCGACATCATTGTGGCCACAAGCTTTCCACACAGACACAGGTTCAAACAATGCAAAATGCTTCACTTTTCTTGTTTGATACTATTTTATTTGAAGGATACTTTTACGGGTACAGTACAAGCTGTAAATTAACCAACCTTTCGATTTGAATTTAACATTCTGCCCAAAGCCCGAAGCACTAATCCTGCTTTTTTTTTCTTTTTTGCGTAAAGTTGGCAGGATCTTTAAATAGAATTCTTCCTTGAATATAGAGTTCTTCCTTGAATATTGTTTGTGCTTTGGGTTGCACAACTTGGTTTGGTATATGGGTTCGATTCTAGGATTACAAAACTTGAATTGAAATTCAGATTCAATTGAGTTGAACTTTGATTGCATAACTCGGTTTGCAGTTGGAGTTAAATCTGAATTGTTTCATGTTGGATCATATGTTAACCTAATTCATTGTCCAAATCCAATCTGAATTGAAGAATCTCTACCCAAATATCGTATCAATCTGAACAAATTACGCCCTGCCCGGCATTCAGTGAAGACCAAATTAGAAAATGAAATAAATGTATTGGCTCAGGCCGAAGCAATAGAATGAACATCAGTCCTGTTTTGGGATTTTGAAAACCTTAGGCTGGTTTGGATTGTATTTCTAAATAGTTTTTTATTCTTAAAATTTTAAAAATAAGGGAGAGGTTATTTTGTTTTCTAATTATTTTAAAATTTTGAGAATTGAGGCGTAATTTTAGAGAAAAACAAAATAATGTTCTTGGTATTTTCTAAGGCAAAATGAAAACATAGAAAATAGTAGGTATTTTTCAATTTAATGAGGTTTCCACTTCAAACTTCCTCAACAGCAAAAAATAGTACCTAATATAAAATATTTTTTTTTCCTGTTTCTCTCCCTGGCTCTCTCTCTCTCCACTTCGGCAAAATTAGACAAGAACATACACATACTGTGTCTTCTCCGGCAAAAAGGCTTTCTCCGGTGACTAAAGATTGTCTTTTCCGTCGATTGAGGGCTCTCCGATGACTGAGAACTTCAAACCTAGGTTTTTTTTTTATTAAGATCTAGGTATTTTTTCAGATCTGTGTCTTTTCCGACAAAAGATTTTTTCTTNTTATCTTAATTTACTAAACAAATGGACCTCAAGAGTTTTAAAAGAAAATTCGTTTTTTTCATAAATATTCCAAGCAATTCTAAGAATTTTTTAAATTTAATTTTTTACATCTCTANTATTTTCTTTTAAATCGCTATCAAATTTGACTATGTCATTCGCGATATTTCGAATTTCGTATTTATTGAAGTCATTGATGGATTTGAGGTATGAGATAATATATAATATGCTCTTGTCTTTTAAACCTCTTTCTGAAAAATGTCCTTTCATTATCTGAAATTTTGTATTCTTATTGATTATTGTAATTTATACGAAATTTTGTCAATGTTATCTTGTACATTGGGCTAAACNGTGTATGTTGGATCTTGGATTTTGGGTTCGTTTTCGTCGTCGTGTATTAGTTTAGTCAATGGCTACTTCGGTTACCAGTTTAATTGATGGCTATGTTATATTCAGATTTTGGGTTTGTCTCGGACGAAGCTCCGACAACGCAGTTTAATCAACGACTAGATTTTTTTTTTATCAAGTTTAATATATTAAATTATTTTTATATAAAATTGTCAACCTAAACAAATTTTATTGTTTTCTATTTTGTGGAACTGTTTTTAGAATCATCCAACCAAATAAGTTATTCNCACTTTGAGATTGATTGATACATGTACGAAGTGTAATTAGAAGCATAATTGGTGAAATGTGATTATGGTCCTACGGGATGCGATTTTGATTACAGCCCTGAGGGGTGTAATAGTTCGATATGAGTATGAATTTTAAATGCCTNATGCAATCCAAACAGATCTTCGATATTTTTTTGGTTTAAGGGGAAATTTTTTTTGATTTTTTTGGATTTGGATTTATTTGACGACATTTTTTTATCAATTTTTTAGGCAAAAATAATTTTTATTAGTACCAAAAAAAAAATGAAAAGTAGGGTTTATCCAAGGGTCCGTTTGGTTAGCAAGAAAAAGATACTGGAAAATAAAAGAGATAGAAAGTGAAGTAAAAGAAAAAAAAGTGAAAGAAAATATATTTTTATACATGCATTTGGTTNGTATCTATGATTGTCTATTGATTGAATTATTTGATATTTGACCATTCATATTCTTTTCTAGTTTAGCATATTGTTTCATGTCATATTGTATACTTCCCTGCCTTTAATATTTTTCAGGATTATTTCGGTGGGAAGGACCATAGTTGATACTTGAAGAATCAAAAACCGACGAATTTTGATATAATTTATAACTTTGTGGGTTTATTAGGGTGATATATAATTTGAGCATATTTGTTTTTATATTGAAGAGATTATTTTTATTGGTATTTAGAGATCAAAATTGCGATTATAAATTTATTGAGGCAATTAGAGCTCTGGCCCTGTATTCAGAGATTTATTTGTGGTATATTATCGTTCAATTGATTTAATCAAGTAACGGGTCCGGAAAATAGGGGTGTTACATGAAATATCCTAAAATGCATTTGAGTAAATGTGTATATCAACATATGTAGATATTTTTTTGAAGTTTCAGTTATTCTGTTTCAAAGGTTTGGATTTTGGGTTTTGAATGCAAGGGTTTTTTTTATTTTTTTATTTTTTATGGTTACAATCAATTTTAGTTAAAGAGTGTCTACTTGTGACATAAACTTGTCCATAGAAATCTCTGAGGGTATATGTTTCTGTAATGTCCAAAACAATGTATAATTTCTGTAATTTTTTCAAATCATATTGGATAAACAATAGTATCAATAACTTTTTATGCACGGGTACAAAGTTCACATTTTAGTTGAACTATTAAACGATTGACATAATCCAAGGGTTTGCAATTTTCCTTTTGTTTTTCTTTAGTCTTCATGAACACAAATTGTAAATTCTAGAACCGACAAACCCACTATCAAAATAAAATTCTAAATCAAAGTATTAAAANTTTTTTTTTTTTTGCATTTTCTAACATTATCTTAATTTACTAAACAAATGGACCTCAAGAGTTTTAAAAGAAAATTCGTTTTTTTCATAAATATTCCAAGCAATTCTAAGAATTTTTTAAATTTAATTTTTTACATCTCTATTTTATACTCAAAAAAATCAATTTCAAACGGCCCACCATATTCAATCATATTGTCCAGGCCTAAAGTGAACTCAGAACTGTTTTGTTCGGCTAGAAAGCCTGCATTGTGGTCCTCAGCAAAACCTAAAAACATTACTAAAAAGGAAGTTCAGAAACCCAAGTACGTGGCGATGAAATATGATCCTAACCACCGATCAAGAAACTTTTACTACATGTCTGTCTGTCACTGCCAGTCATCTTTAGCCACCCACATAGGAATTAATGGAGCTATGATTACCACCTGATCCATGCAATCTTATGCCATAATTAATCCAACAGTTAATACCTCATAAAGTAAATTTACAAAGTTTTCAAAAGGAAAAATATTCTTGGGATTCATTTATCAGATGACTTCTGTTCCTATTTATGGCCCTTCTTTAGACTAAATGTTTTTTTTTTTTTTGATATTTCATTCAGGGATGTTTGGATTAATATATATACATTTGAATTAATCTCTTTTTTAGGTCCGATGATAAATAAGTCATTCATGACGGGATTAGGGTATTTATGAGAGATAAATCTTTCATAACCTAATCATAAGAAATTGTCAAGATTTGAAGTTAAGACATTTAGATTTACAGTTCGTTTATGTTATCACTTGATGTTTCTTTTGTGTTATTTAGATTTAATATTTCAATTGCCAACCATGATGCCTAAATTAAGATGTGAGTATGGTGCATGGAATATTCAGATGAACATATCTCAAATTTGGGATCCTAGATTAGAAGGGATATTGAATAAGTGAATTCCATTGATTTTTTTCAACGAGGCTCACTCATTCATGTGTTTTTATTTATTTGGTATCTCAAATTTAGAAGGTAAAGTATTTCCCTATTCAAAATAAAGGACTACTTTTTAGTAAAAAAAGGGCATGTCACAAATATGATCAATTCTATTGCGATCTAAAAATTTGATATAGTTTAGTGACAAAATAATGTGATTTCATTGTAATCCTTAGATTAACAACAAGTTCCGATATTAGATGTGACTCACAATCAATCTGAAAGTTTTCGTGAATTAGTTACCACTAACATTGCTCCACAAATATATGCTTATTTCCACTTATAAATGGTATACATATGCAAGTGCGCAGCTTTGCTAATTTTCCACTTGTATAATCAGTAATAGTACAGTGGTTCTCATTATAACATGTAATCCAACTCATTCTGCTGTCTTCCACTTTAATTATCTTTACACATAATATGGAATTTTTTAAGTTAATGTTTATGTGTTATAGTGTGTAGCTTTCACTAGCTATCATTACAAGCCCCAAAAGCACTGCAACTCTTCATCAATCCTACAAAAACAAAACATAGTGAAAAGGCCACTACTCCCCCCACCTTTCACCGAAAAGTGACTTTATTTAGACTAAGCAAGTTGAAAATACTCATTAAAAGTGTTTTCCAGCCCTTTAATCCTGCATGGGTTCATGTGATTTTCTCTCCTTATCACAGCTTTCTCTTTGCTCCTGCACACAGTACACACACAATTCAATAGAGAGAGAGAGAGAGAGGGAGAGAGTTACAAGAACCAGCCAGCTGAATACTAACTAAGCTCCATTTTTCTTTGTGACCAACTTGAAATGGGGTCTGAAAACAGTTAGATATTTTGAAAGGAAGCCATTTGTCAGGTGGGTTGGTGGTGCAGAACTTGTGGTGTATAGCTCCTAAGGCTTAATTGTGAGGTTTTTTTTGGGGAGATGGGTGTTGTTACTGTTGGAGAATTGAAGCCAAGTATCTCGGGGAAGAGGTCTTTTCGTCCGAGTTCGAGTACAAGGCATTTCACTGAATGGTAATGCTCTTCTTCCAAGTTCTAACCTATTGTTTATAGGTTCTGTTCTACAGTTATTCCATGCCAACACTTGGATTGCTGTAACGCCAGATCAATACTTCAGTAACAAGTTGGTTGTAATTCAACTCCAAAACAATTTCAACCCACTTTAATCCTATATATGTATTTGTCTCAGCTCTTACATATTTCACTGAAGAAAAACACTTGATGATAGTTGATAGAGCTTTAAATCAGTGATCTCTGAATATGACATATCAAACATTGACCTTGGCATTGAAACACTTAAATTCAAAAGACAGTGGCATGAGGCTAAGTAGGTGAAAGTCGTTATTTCAACATGTACCATAAATGCAGCGAATAGCTATAATTAGTAATCGATAGATAGGGTCCCATCCATTCTATCAATGTTGAGCCCGTGGGGCCTTTGCATGGTCCCTTTGAGTTAAGGTATTCACTTCATGGTCATGCATTTAACTTATTGGAAAATTGTGTTTGAAAGACAAGAGGTCAAACATGGAGATGATGTAAAGAAGAAGAAGCTCGTGAAGTTTATTTTTTTCCTGTAATCTGCATACAAACCAATGTATGTTTTTGTGTGTGTGTGTGTGTGTGTGTGTTTTGAACGTTTTCTGATGTGTCTTGTTGTCGATTTAATAGTTTGTTCAACTTGCAGGCCAATCTCCGATGTTTCCAGTGATCTTACCATTGAAATAGGAGCATCAAGTTTTGCACTTCACAAAGTAAGCGCAATGAGTTCTTAGATTCGTATTGTGTCCCCTGTTCAGTTTTTTATTTCTTATAAACATTTAGATTACAGCAGTTAACTGCATAAATGACTTAGCAAATTGTGAATTGTCATGAATTAGATTACAGCAGGCTGAGGATATTGTGAATTGTCATGAATGACTTAGGAAATTGCTTATAAAACATTTCCTAGGTTAAAAGTGGTTCGTCAGAGGTAACTAAAAACATGGGAGTGAAGGAATAGCAGAGGAAACTACATTGAGAGCGCTTTAATAATATGATCAGAACTATTTTGCAGTTTCCTCTAGTTTCTAAGAGTGGAAGAATTCGAAAGCTGTTGCTGGAAGCAAAAGATTCAAAAATTTCACGATTGAATCTCCCCGGTGTTCCTGGTGGACCGGAAGCATTTGAGCTTGCTGCAAAGTTCTGTTATGGGATGAACATCGACATCACAATATCAAATGTTGCTATGTTGCGTTGTACAGCCCATTTTTTGGAAATGACACAAGAATATGCTGAGAAGAACCTGGAGGCACGAACTGAAACGTGTCTGAAGGATACTGTACTCCCAAACATATCGAATTTGATAACTGTTCTTCACCATTGTGAAACCCTCCTGCCTATATCAGAAGAAATCAACCTGGTTAGCAGAATTATCAATGCAATTGCCAATAATGCATGCAAAGAGCAGCTCACATCAGGCTTATCCAAACTCGAGCACAACTTCCCTTCGAAACCAGTCCAAAGCATGGAAACCGAAATACCCTCAGACTGGTGGGGGAAATCACTGGCAGTGCTGAATCTTGATTTCTTCCAAAGGGTTTTGTCTGCAGTAAAAACAAAGGGTCTGAAACAGGACATGATCAGCAGAATATTGATAAACTATGCCCATAATTCTCTTCAAGGCCTTGTCATTAGGGACCCTCAATTGGCTAAAGGGAGTTCCTTGGACCTGGAACTGCAGAAGAAACAAAGGGTCATTGTTGAAACAATAGTTAATTTACTGCCTACTCAATCAAGGAAGAGTATGGTTCCAATGGCATTTCTTTCAAGTTTATTGAAATCTACAATAGTGGCATCAGCATCTACTTCTTGCAGATCTGATCTAGAGAGGAGGATTGGTCTGCAATTGGACCAGGCAATTCTTGAAGATATACTCATTCCTGCAAATCTACATTGCAACAATCACAGCCCATTGTATGACTCAGACTCGATCATAAGGATCTTCTCCATTTTTCTGAATTTGGATGAGGATGATGATGAGGACAGTCGGTTCAGGGATGAAAGTGAAATGGTTTATAATTTCGACAGTCCTGGATCTCCTAAACAGAGTTCAATCCTTAAGGTATCGAAACTGTTAGACAATTATCTTGCAGAAGTCGCACTAGACCCAAACTTGATGCCATCAAAGTTCATAGCACTGGCAGAATTACTTCCAGATCATGCTCGGATTGTGAATGATGGATTGTACAGAGCTGTGGATATCTTTCTCAAGGTAAGAAACATGAGAGAATTACGCACTTGAATGCATGTTGCTATAATCAGTATAGATCTTCCAAGATTTTGATTCTTTTGAACATCATTTTTATGATTTCTTGACAGGTTCATCCAAACATCAAGGACTCTGAGCGCTACCGCCTCTGCAAGACCATCGACTGTCAAAAACTCTCTCAGGAAGCCTGCAGCCACGCAGCTCAGAATGAACGATTACCAGTGCAGATGGCAGTCCAAGTGCTATACTTTGAGCAAATTAGACTCCGGAATGCAATGAATGGGGGACATAATCAATTATTCTTTGGCTCGATGAATTCCCAATTCCCTCAGCGCTCAGGCAGTGGTGCAGGCAGTGGATGCATCTCACCGAGAGATAATTATGCATCCGTGAGAAGAGAAAACAGAGAATTGAAGCTTGAAGTTGCAAAAATGAGAATGAGGCTAACCGACTTAGAAAAAGACCATGTTTCTATGAAGCAAGAGCTTGTAAGGCCACATCCAGCAAATAAGTTGTTCAAGTCATTCGCCAAAAAATTCAGCAAGCTCAATGAATTATTCCGGATCAGAGATCTTAAGCCCATAGGTGGCAAGGCTAATTCAGAAACCCGGTTTCTGTTTCAAAAACGAAGGCGCTATTCTGTTTCGTGACCTTGTATTTGTTTGTGAATAAGAAAGAGTGTATAGTATTACTGTTGAGGGTGTGTCTGATCTGATCTCAGGTTGATAGAGTTGAGAGTTGTTGATTGTGTTGCTGTGTTCTGTAAGATGACTCCTTTGTGTTTTTGATGGAGGCTTGAAGGCAGGCACTCAATGAAACATGTATTTTAAAGGTTTTGACTCAGATTAGCGGTTTGTTTAATGGTGACCGCCATGCTGTTGGCCCTTAAGTCACGGATTCGACTTTTGTCGTCCCAATAGTGCCTGGCCAAAAAAAAAAAAAGACCACTATGTTGTATGGGCAATTGGGCATGTAAGGTGTTCATTACATAGAAAGAGGGAAAAAATTTACCAATGTTTTGGTGGATTTCTCATATTATCACTACCTTTCTGTATTCATGCTTTGATTTATGTCCAAGGGAAAAACTTAGCAAGAAACTATACACTAGCCTTAGACGGCATCATCTTACATGATCTGAGAAGCGGGCATCATCAAGCTCCGTTTGTATATCACATACATTCTGTAATATTCTTCCGGATCTTTGGGGACTTTATATTCCTTTCATTGGTATGCCATTATCTTTTCCATTGCTAAGCAATTCTTTGCCATTTTCGAGGCACTTCAGGTACTCCCCTCCCCCGCCCACCTTGAACCACTTCGTTACGGACTATGATTAGTTGCATTGTTCTTGTATTTGATGGATTCACTGCTTCTTATGTCTAGTTTTTCTTGGTCTGTTTTGGTTTCCATTTGTCTCGTCTCCTCTCTCTCTCTCTCTCTCTCGCACACATTATAAATTTCCATTTGCTTCTTTCTCCTGGTGTGGTGTTATTGTGCATCCACAAATATAGAGAACAGTGGACAATTGATGTTCAAACCACTGTGAACTATTAAGTTTCACACTATTTAGTAAACAGATACATAGGGATTATAGACTATAAGTTGTCATAGGACTTGGTACATCCAAAGGTGGTCAATAAGAACTTACACCGCACCTCTTCTTATTTTACTATGATAGAAAAAAAGCTATTACATAGTCTGGATAACATATTATAGATCAAAGGCTTTGTGTAGTTAATTATTCGGCCACACCCATATGGCTCTAGCTGCCATGAGCAATGGAGCTAGTTTGCCCTGGACATGAAGGCTCATGACCTCACTAGCACCACCAACCAATTTCTCCCCAATATACACTACGGGTACAGTTGGCTTACTTCCTGAAGCCATGAGTGCTCTTTCTATTTGCTGTCCATTTGGAAGTTCATCTAGCTCATAAACAGTTGGGTTTGCCCCAAAACTGCTTATCAGTGACTTAATACTGTGGGACATGCAGCAAGAGCTCTTGCTGAAGATCACCAGAGGCCTGTCAGCTACCATTCTCTTCACGACGTCCATCGTTAGAACCCCGACTCTAAGAAGGTATATCAAAAATGGTGATAAATAGTTTGTTAAGTTAGAAGGCCCGGATACTCCTGACCGTCGAAACAGAAGGAAAAAAAAAAAGGTTAGAAGAGAGGGGTCGGTGTTTGTGGGGAGTGGGGAGAGTAAGAAACAATGTGAAATACGAAGATTGTGTTGAGAGCAAATGCTTTGCTGTGAGTAACTTGCTATCTCGTGGGGTTTATATACACATGCCTTAGGGTGGTGGGTTGCACTGCTTGGCATTTGGAAAAACAAGTTGGCGTGTATTCCCAAATTACCCTTGATCATTGCTTGATAACGATATTATATCTCACTTTACCTACAATAACATGTTGCAGATCGGTAGATTGTAGTGCTAAATGTATGCAGGGTAGCGAGGGGTGACAATCCGTGCCGTGTTGAATCGTGTCATTTGGAGATTATGTCGAGTATTAGTTAATTATAATCCAACTCGTTTAATTAATAGTGTTGTGTCGTGTTGACTTATTTATTTTTGTGTTGTGTTTGTGTTGATCTATTTATTTTCGTGTTGTATTCATGTTGACCCATATAAACCATAAATAGGCTACTACTTGATAAAATATAATAAAAAATTAACATTTTATTCTTATAATAATACTTAAACGTGTTAATCGTGTCAATTTTGTGTTGTTCATGTTTAACACTAACACAACTCATTTATTATTTGTGTTAACGGGTCGTGTTATATACGAGTTTATGTCGAGAAATGACTAATCCTAACCTATTAATTTCATGTTAATTTTGAATCGTATTTTCGTATTATAATAAAAATTGTTACTCATAATAGCAGGTTTGGACATTCTTAAATGGCATTAGTAACCTTTATGGATTGCCTTCCCACTGGAGGTAGATAGGAAGAATAAGAGAATGATCTTGCAAGAAGATTCCTTCACCTGATCCTTTTGGATTACTATAAAAAATATTAATCAAGATTTTGTTCAAATCTAGTGATACTCTTATTACTAGTGCATTGTTCTGATATCTTATCAGCAGCATTATGTTACAAGAGGTCAGTATGGTAATCGTATTTGTAAACACACTCACCACACACACCGACACATGTATATACACACACATACACGTATTTTCGTCATGGGATTTCTTGCAGAGCCATGTTGGGGCATCTTCTGAGGTGGAGAAAGATATTTGGGTTTATCCAATTGTGTAGCCTTTTTTCCTCATAAAACAGATTCTTGATGTTCGAAGACATGGAAAGCAGATTGAGCTGGAGAGACGGAAAGATATGAGGAAAACGACGCCTGTTAAAGGTAATTTCGTTTCAGACCATGGCAATAAAATAGAAATCCCTGCTGGGGGAAGGAAGGAAAGTCAGGTTTCCTTCTAGAATCATAGAAGGTCAAACTTTGGACGGATTATCAAGTTTCACTTGTGCAAAGATTTCACAAGATTGAATCTATTTTGTTCGATCGAAGTTAAAGATGCCTCAAATGATTAAAAGAAAGGGTTTTTTTTTTTTGGCATTAATTTTGGAAGAAGATAGCTTTTTTTTTTTTGTGAGAAAAAGGGATGGGCGCAAATGAGAGTATTCAAAGACCATCACGATAGGCTCTTACTTATAGGATTATGAGATTTCTTACCATGCCCGTTATTCTTTTCAAGAACAAACCTAGTTAAATTAGCGTAACAATCAACTATCAAGTCCTAATATAGACTTCAAAACTCGAACCTCCAATTAATGAGAAGTTTGATCGATACCCCACCACTTGGTGGTAGAAGAAGATAGCTTGATGTTGTTTCATACTATCGGCTTTTACACGAAGCATTAGTCGGAAAGCAATGCTTTGCGCTAAGATATTCTCCCATGGGATTAAATTAAGAGTATTCACAATGTGCAGCAATACTGCCGCTATTTTATCCTTACCAGCGTGTGATTCTTTGCGGCAAGGTGCTTATTTGGTCGGTTCCTCTGTCGAAGAGTTGCAAATTATGCCCACCAAACTCTGTTTGAAGAAATAAATTTTGTCGTACCCAATTCAGATACCAAGCAAACCCAATCTAATTTTGCAAATCTTAAGAGTAGCTCAAGTAGTAGTAAAGATAAACTATAAAACTAGACATTTTAAGTTCGAATCTTAGTAATTTCTTAGAGTCCAATTATGAGATATTTATTTTTTATAAATACCCTAATTCCGGCGTAAATGACCTACCTTTAACTGGACTAAAGAGAGAATTAATTGAGGTACACATAAACTGGCCCAGATATTCCTGACCGTTGAACAAAAAAAAAAGTAACTATATAAGATATAAATTGATCAAGTTTAAATTAAACAAATTTTAACATAATATAACGTGTGATGGGCCCAGACCAAAACCCAACTCAGGTTGTGGGCTCAACTTGAATAAATGATTCACTTATACGAAACCCAATGAGTCTAGAGATTTACTTCTGGTCAAGCTCAAGAGCCACGTCATTAAAGAGTAGGCAACACTATCCTAATAGTCTCATCGATGTCACCTTGGAGTAAGGAGTAAAGAAGTCAACCATGTCATCTTAAGACTTGGTCTTGAGGAGAGCCCCGTAACAACCTTATTCGTTGCGAAGATGGTGCCATCTCCACCAAATTAGCATTTTAATTACTCATAAGCTGCCTTAATCTGTTAGGAAACGACTATAAAATGTAAGTCTCACCTACACATGGGGGCATCTCACACAATCTCTCACATCTGGCATCACTTTCATCTTTCTCACTATTTGTACCTCACATGAGCTCTTACCTGAGCTCTCATTGCTCTCACTTGATCTCCTTACAATCCTATAACAATAAAATACCCATATCACCCTAGTCTTTCATAGTGAAGGCACCTTAATCAAACCACTTAAATTTTATGTTGCTTGTGTTGAATTTTCTCTCTCTATTTTATTATATGCATAAATTACTTGACAAGTGGTGTGCAAAACTAATTTGTGCATCATCAATTTAGCGTCGTCTATAAAAACGACAAAGTTTTCATTCAACCATCCTTTTTTGTATCTATGACAATTATCACTAGATCCGTGAATCAACCTGAAAACAATCCATTACACGAGGGAGAAAATCAAATTGTGGACCATGGGAGCTACTTTCATGACCCATCAAAATGAGTCCCCCATCATTGGGACGAAAAAATCAAGGAAATATAGAATTAATTGGGTGACGTCTTCAACGCCATGAAGGCGCAAAGACAAAAAATTGTTGAGTATCTCGTAAGGCGCACTGACACGCCTTTTATAGTCGATGTGGCAAATTACCCACTTCCCTAGAAATTTTGAATGTCATCGGTAGAAACGTTTGATGACACAAAAGACCCACTGAATCACCTCGACACTTATAAGTATTTGATGCAGCTGCACAATGTTCCTGATGAAATCACATGCAAAGCCTTCCCAACTACCTGGAAAGGATTTGCCCGACAATGGTTCGCCAAGCTCACCCTAACCTCCATAGGCTCCTTTGCCGAATTAAACAGATCCTTTATGACACATTTCATTGGTGGACATCGCCACCAGAAGCCTATTACTCATCTGCTTAGCGTAAAACAAGATCGAGACGAGAGTCTGAGGAGTTTTCTCACTCGTTTTAATGAGAAGGTCCTCTAAATTAAGGAGCCAAATGACAAAGTCACTATGATCGCTTTCTTAGGAGGCCTCTGCTCATCGAGTTTTCTATTTTCAATAATGAAGCGACTACTAAAGAGCATGCTAGAATTATTGGTAAAAGCTCAAAAATATATAAATGTTGAGGACATCACCAGATCCAAACGAGGTAAATCCTCCCGCGAGTAGCTAAAATATTGGCCTATCTCTGTTCTCAAGCAGACAACCTATGTCTTCAATTTAATAGCTTTCTCACGGGTCGCCAAAAGATTGACCTAACTCTACTCTGTTTTCAAGCCGATAGCCTATGTCTCCAACTTAGCGGCTCTCTCATGGGTCATCAAAAGCTTGACCTATCTCTGCTTTGCTCTCAAGCAGGCCGCCTATGTCGCAGCACTCTCGCGGGTCATCAAAAGCTTGGTCTATCTTTGCTCTACTCTCAAACAGGTAGCATATACCTCAAGTTTAACGACTCTCTCACGGGTCGACTAAAAACTTAGTCTCAAAAGGTGCAACTCTCTTACGAGTAACTCTAAAATTCTGTCTCTACTTTTATGTGGGCAACCTCATAGTCAGTCTACCTCCAGTTTAGAGACTCTCTCATAGGTTGTCAAAAGCTCGGTCTCAAAAGGTGTAACTCTCTCACGAGTAACTCTCAAATTCTGCCTTTGTTCTCATGTGGGCAGTCTCACAGTCAGCCTACCTCCAACTTAGCGACTCTCTCACGGGTAGCCAAAAGCTCAGTTTGAAGAGGTGCAGCTTTTTCACGAGCAATCCTCAAACTCTGTCTTTACTTTCACACAAACAATCTTTATTTCTTTACAGCCCAATTTGTTTGTCACACTCTCCATTAATCATGTTGGACATTTTGATGTTAGAGTAATATTATTTTTGTCATCTATAGGCACGTTCTTGAAACTCAGGTCATCTACAACCCGAGGGACTACATTAGGTTGAATGTCAACAATCAGGTCTCATCCTTTTTGCGGTCAGCGGGCATCGCTGCCTCGTTGCTGCAGCGCTACCACACTTAACACCTAGCGCAAACAAGGCTCGCGTGCTCCCAACACTAAGGATTTGACACCTATTCTTGGGTACTAGCTCCCCCCTGCTCCTAGCACCCAGCCTCATGGCACCTAACTGCTGATGTCCCTTCCTCCTGCACCTGCCCAACTCCATGCCCAGTATCCACCGCTGCCGTTCTTGGCTCGCCCTTTGACGCCCCCGCCGCGCATAGCGCCAATGCGCTAGCCTATCCGCATCCAGCAAGACCGCCACTAGGCCATTGCCTCATGAATGTCGCCTTGGGCTCTAGCCTCCTCGACTCCCGCGGTGACCCCTACCTAGTCGGCGCCTGCTGCGTCGCTGACGCCCTCTGCCTCGTCGACGCCTGTCTGCATGCCAACTTCGNGCCTCCTCGACTCCCGCGGTGACCCCTACCTAGTCGGCGCCTGCTGCGTCGCTGACGCCCTCTGCCTCGTCGACGCCTGTCTGCATGCCAACTTCGATGTTGATTGCTCTATCGTTGCCTACCTCCTCTTAGATGTCAATGGCTTCTTGCATCTCCCCTTCTTCATCCTATAACGATCTCCAATCACCTAGCCAATGGATAACCTCCCTTGCCCCACTCAACTTGCAACCACTCATGGTCATCTCACTTGAAGTTCTCTCTCAAGAGTGAATTGAATGAAAAGAAAGGGAAAACCCCCTATTCATAGCCTAGGGTTTTTAAAAATCCTAGTTAATGATGGAATGTGGTAGAGTTTTCGCAACAAGGAATGTTTTAGGAGAAAGAAATGTATCAAGAAGGAAAAGGTGTTATCAGTCAAAAGAAGTCTTCGTTAGCTAGAGTCCAAATCCAGCTAAATGTCATTTTCTTCAAGTTTTATTGGACTCGAGGCATTGGGGGGCAAATGATGGGTGCAGACCAAGACCCAACTCAGGTTGTGGGCCCAACTTGAATAAATCCCCAATGGGTCCAATCCAAAAGAGATTCAATCCTAGTCAAGCTCATCAAGGCTCCAAGAGCCATGTCATGAAGGAGTAGGCAGCGCCATCCCAAGAGCCTTATCCACGCCACATTGAAGTAAGGAGTAAGGAAGTCAACCACGTCATCCTAAGACTTGGTCTTGATGAGAGTCCTGCAACAGCCTCATCCGTTGTGAAGATGATGCCACCTCCACCTCCACCAAATTAACTTTTTAGTTATTAATAAGTCATCTCAATCTGTTAGGAGACGACTATAAAATGTAAGTCGTACCTACACATGGAGGGCATCTCACCCAATCTCTCACAAATGGCATCATTCTCATCTCTCTCACAGCTTGTACCTCACCTAAGGTCTCATTACTCTCACCTAATCTCCTTACACTCCTATAATAATAAAATACCCATATCATCTTAGCCTTTCACAGTGGAGTAGGTCATCTTGACCGAACTACTTAAATTGTATGTTGCTTGTGTTGAGTTTTCTCTCTCTATTTTATTATCTACATTAATTATTTGACAAGTGACGTACAAAATTAATTTGTGCATCGTTAACGTGAATAAGATACAAATCAAGCACATGTTTGCAGAAGTTTAATTAAAGGCATTGGATAGTTGTTTTTTTTTTGGAATTTCGTCTATCCCAACCCTTCGGGCCGGACAAATGCTGGACCCACATGCAAAGCTGGCTCTCCACGCATAGGGGGTAAATCTAGGACCAGTGGCCACAAGGAGTGTTTGCATCTAGTAAGTTTCGAACTCTTGACCAGTACCAAGTTAAGGTACTTATCAAGTAATCTTTGAACCACTAGGCTAACCCCTTGGGGTTGGCATTGGATAGTTGTTGTCAAGAACTATGAGGCAAGTATCGAAGTGAGATTTCATTTAATCTTTTTATTTTTATTTTACAAGCAATGCTATTGGAACATAATGAGTTGTCACTAATGATATAATAATGAATTNATGAGGCAAGTATCGAAGTGAGATTTCATTTAATCTTTTTATTTTTATTTTACAAGCAATGTTATTGGAACATAATGAGTTGTCACTAATGATATGATAATGAATTTATTTAATGCTACAATGTAACCCATCATTAAATACATTTCAATATCACTTCATTGGTGATAACTCATTATGTCCTCAAATTATGTCCATAAATTCTGTCCCAATAGCATTAATCTTATTTTATATGGATAAATTGGCAATGAGTCATTCTTTAATACATGGTGGATGATCTATGGAGGAATGAAATCGAACCAATGCTTGGAACTACTCGCTAATTATGAGATTATTAGATTCTTTACCCATTGATGAGGTTACTTGCTTGCTAATTAATTCCTTCTATTAAGCACGGGCGGCACGGTGGAACTTTTTTCCTAATAAACAACGCTATAAAATAGCTTTCGAGAAGAATAAGATCGTAAAAGTTGAGCGGGTCAACAAATTTTCCACCATTTTCCACGGTTTCATGAAAAAAACAAAAAAAAAAAAAAAACAAAATTTCCACCATATCTTTCGGTTGTTTTTCTTGCAGTTTATATTGACTTGTGCATGCATGCTTACCACCTCCCCACCTCACCACCATGATGTCACCTCATTCTTCTACCATTTTATTATTTTAATTACGTCTTTAAATTAGGTTTAAATAACAATTTTTTTTCATAATCAATTATTTCTGTCGTATTGCAGATTAGAAGAACTATTAATTCTTACCAATTTAGATAAAATAAGATACTTAGTACAAGAGATTCTTGTCATTGCGAAATTTAAAGAAAGTTAGATGTATGCAGTCTTACTTTTACAAACAGAAAAATTATTTTTATAATTCGAATTCGTGACTCCTAAATTACAATGGTCGGAATTCTCACCAATTCAGATCATGGGTATTAATAAACAGAGGAATGCTACTTAAATTTAATTTTTTTTACAAACCCTAAAGATTTTCTTACAACTTTTCTCTCTCCGTCAGTTATATTCAATCATTGCCGTTAATAACATGTTCGTATTCGATTCTGGAAATCACTGATTTTTCTTCGAGAGACCCCCAACACCAAGAGCCATCAAAACAAACTTATCCTTCAGCTCAACATAGGGATCTATTGCATCCTTTGGTAACCTAGAGATCGACTCTCTCTTCTTATCTGCTATGAAGAATCCCTCTTTATTTGAAAATAGAATCAAAAAGGAAGATAAGAAAGTTCTGGTTAAGACACCTAGCATGTTATAGGCGGGAGCCTGGTGTGCACTGGATACGATCTCTCCCTCTTATTAACAATCATATATATAAACTAGAACAAACTCTAGCTAGAGTGCTCCAACTAATATCCTTTTGTTCTATTCAGTGACTAGTGAATATGCAGCAACATTTCTCTATCCCAACAGATTCTGAAAATCATAGTTGAGCCATTGCCGCAAGCCCTGCCACAAAGAACAGAGTCCCACTTGCAGGAAAGCTAACGCACGCCCCCTTACGTTATCTTTCGCTTGCTCTGCTGTACGAGCCTTGTTTAAGCCACAGGATTGACAGGGGACCAAAGCTGGAAAGTGAAAATGAATTGGATAAACTCTTTTTTTTTCCACGTCAGCAAGAAGATCCGAACAGGATGACTATCATATAGAATATGCACAAAAGGAGAAAAGACAAACCTACCATCTTTGTCACCTCTGCAATGTTAACTAATCTGAGCAACCACCTGCATGCTCCTTTACTTCTCAGTCCTTGAAATGGATGGAGTTGGCCTGAGTTTTAATAGCCAATGCTGAAAGATGGGGGATGGGAGGGACGAGTATAGACGTATAGCAGGAAGATTGCTCTGTTATGGCCTATGCATTATATGTTTGAGTCACGAAAACAATTTTTTGCAACACGATATACATACATACTCTTCAAAGCTCACAATTAGGGGAGCCTTGTACATTACGCCTCATTTTGATTAACCAATGTTGTTGTCAAAGAATCAGTATCAAACATTGTATGTATATATGAGATGAACATAGATATGGCTAGTTCCAAGTTGACATCGCTAACATGCTTACTACAGCAAAAAGTTGTATTCCTTCCTTTAAGAGAATAAATCTACATGCCAACTCAACTCTTGAAGAAGCAACCGATGGATAGAAAGCATTCTTTACAGTCCCACCACTTTTATAAAATGAGTTTTTTCTCGGAAAATCTACCTTTCATCAAATACTTTGATATAAAATAAAAGATTTTATCCCCCACCCTCCTTCACAACAAAAAAAAAATTCATTTGCCCCAGCATACATTTGATAACTCTGACATTGTTGGGATGTACGGACAACGTCAACCTGTGTTGGATTAAATCATCAATTGGGTGATACAAGGTGTCAACTTGTGCAAGGAACAAAGGTACATTATCAAGCAAATGATCTTGGGCATGTATCTTATCCAAACAAATATCCAAAGGAACTTTCTTTTTCATATGTTTTCGATTATCTTATTATTTTATTTTTTNATCCAAACAAATATCCAAAGGAACTTTCTTTTTCATATGTTTTCGATTATCTTATTATTTATTTTTTTCTTTTTCCTGGTTAGATAATGCAATCCTTCACCTTCAACAACCACTATAAATAAGGGGTGATGAAAGCTCAACATCCAACACAGGCAACCTTCACTGTCCTAGTAGACAAGCATACACCACTTGTTCTACTCACTTTCGAAGCCCTAGTTAGTAGTTAGACCAAGTGTTTTTAAGCTATTCTTCGTTGAATTGCTCTAGGACGTGTTTTGAGCTATATTGCACATCTTTTCAAGCTATATTCTGCTTTTAATCAAGCCTTAGACATATTTTGAGTTATATTGTATATCAGTTTTTTCCGGGAAGTAGAGTTTTGTTTAACTGCTTGAAATGGATAGAGTGAGAGACTTGGCGTCAAAGAAGGCTGCAGTGATCTTTACAAAGAGCTCGTGTTGCATGTGCCACAGCATCAAGGCACTGTTTTATGAACTTGGTGCAAGTCCTGCAATTCATGAACTTGATCAGGACTCAAACGGGAAGCAAATGGAATGGGCACTGCGAAGCCTGGGCTGTACTCCGACTGTCCCGGCTGTGTTCATTGGCGGAAACTTCGTCGGCTCTGCCCCAGAAGTCATATCCCGCCAAGTCGACGGGTCTTTGAAGCAACTGCTCATTGATGCCGGAGCTATCTGGTTCTAGCTAGTCATATTAGCAAGATGGAGCTCTGATACTATGTTAAAAAAATCCGAGCTTTTATGAACTGTTTTTTTTTTTCTTTCTTTTTTTCAGCTACATGGTGACTGCATGTTTTATAAGAGAAAGGACACACTATGTGAAAATGGTAATTTGAGACTAAGTTTTCTTCTAACTATTTGAAACCTCAGNGGTGACTGCATGTTTTATAAGAGAAAGGACACACTATGTGAAAATGGTAATTTGAGATTAAGTTTTCTTATAACTATTTGAAACCTCACTCTCTTGAAACGAATCAGTCAATCATCGCTCTCTTACTTTATTTTCCTTGAGAGTTATTTTTTGAATATATACCTGAAATTCCCAAATCAACTTACATGATTAGACAACATTCGAATTTCGGAACAGTCTATCCATGAGAATATTCAGAAAAAAATTGCTCCTATATATAAAAGCTAAACTACCAAAGAAAAAAGTCTCCTCGTTACACGTAACTTCGAATCAATGATCATACATACTTCAACAGAGAGCACATATACCCTTGTCTAGAGTCCCATTTATATCAAGTGACAATTGCACAATACAGTGAAATACCCACCGCACCCACCAGTACCTATTTATGGAACAAAATGTTCCAGCACATAATGGTGTTTATCTTCTTTAAAACGAAGATTAAAGTCATCTTGTTAGGTTTTTGTATGATCATGTTTACTGATCAACAGTATGTCATTGCCATGTGTAGGAGATGCATACAAACTAACATGACATTTTTTTTTTTGGTCGAAACTAACATGAAATTCCAAGTATATGTGAGCAGTAAGACTATTTCAATGTGATCTTAGGTATTATAGGTGACAATCACAAAAAACATCTCCTCGTACATGAGTAAAAGGCATTGCATCTATGAATTTATCAAAATTCCTGAACGTACATTCACCACTTTGTGCATTATCTGGGTGTTCAGTTTAGTTAACTTGTATATGGAATAAATTTTTTTTTTCGATTCAATTAAATGTAAATCATTCACGTCGAGTTAGGATATTAATGGGCGATAAATATCTCGTGATTTTGCCCCCAGAGGTTGCAAAAATTCAACTCAAGACATTTGAGTTTATAACTCATTTTTATTATCACGAGAAATGCTGCACGGACTTAAAAACTAGATGTGATAATCACAACTATTAAATAGTTAGTGGGTCCTAATAAATATTAAAGTCCACAATAAAATTAATGATTATAATTATCAAATTTAATTTTTAAGTGTACGTAACATTGCTCTATTATCACTTGAATTAACTTGGGATTGGAGGACCCTCCTTCCAGGATTGATCAGAATGTGCCCAAGTGTAAGTGTGTACCTGCTCATCAACAGTTCATGTGTACTGTATGTAAATATCTATGAGAGAGAGAGAGAGAGGGGGAGAGAGAGACTCACGTACGTGCTCACGCATGATAAGGAATTTTAGGCAAGTTGGTGGGCGGAAACACAAAGAATCTGAATCACACTCACCGAAAGCTATCTCATTCCTATTCTTTACACCAGAATCGAATAATATATTTGGAGATGATTGGGAGAATCTGGTAGAAATTGACCACCTTTTATTTAGGAATTTTTATCCTTTTGTTTTTCTTTTCCCGATGGATCCAATTCTTGATCATTTTTTTGGTTTCAGGAATTTCAGACCCGCTCTTACAACGCAACCTCATTGATTGCCCAAAAATTACCCGTGCATTTGCACATTTTCAACCCATGGTCAATAACTTGCACAGTTGTGTCATAAATCTATTCAACCCGAAATCATAATGGATAGTGGACAGTCAACATATTGGATGGCTATGATCACTTGACAATCTAGATCAACGACCAGAATAAGGCCATGCAAGTGGTTCGTGGTCTACGGGAAGTCCCCACTAGGCCCAATCGGATTTGCCCGACTAAGGTCGGTAAAGGCTGCCTGTGGGTCGGCCTGTTGGCCCATCAAAACTCAAAATAACCATTAAAAAAAAAGTTAAATTCAGAAAGAAAGAACACTTATGGCTAGTCCTATAATTAAGTAACACATTAAAGACTCCATAGAATCATCCCCATTATGCCTGTGAATGAATTAGAGTTCCGATTGAATTTTGATCGATCTGAATTTGACTTTAAAAATCCGATTCATTTGAAGACCAAGGAAATATAATCATTGGGACCAAATCTTTAGGTAAAAAAGTACGTTTTAGGTCTTTAATAAAGAGCATTTGTCATATGTGGAAAGACTATACTTGGGTCAAGTTGATGTATTTTNTAATCATTGGGACCAAATCTTTAGGTAAAAAAGTACGTTTTAGGTCTTTAATAAAGAACATTTGTCATATGTGGAAAGACTATACTTGGGTCAAGTTGATGTATTTTTTTTTTTTTTTTTGTGGTTTATATTCGAATCTATTAACAATAGGTTTCAGAAATTCAATCGGATCCGAATAACTTAATTTAACTAAATTTTAACAAATTATATCTAAATTTTAACTAAATATTTTTAAATAATCACTTAATTTATTTAATATTTATACAAAAATATATAAATATTTTGAATCAAATTCTAATCGGATCAGATATAAGTATATTCTAAAAATAAAAAAAATAAGTATATCTAAATATGAATTTTTGAAATATATGGTATCAAATACGAAAATCGACAAAAAATGTCAACCTATATCTGAATAATCAAACTCTAGTTCAGATAAAATTATAATCAAAATTCGGTCTATTGAGAGGCCTAATCCCGATGAACAAACCATAGGATGCATTTTTTAATAGTTGGACAGCTTGACCAACCAATTGACCATGGCCCAATCCAATGGTTCCCACGTGTTGTGTAGGCCCGGCCCGATTATGGACCATTAGACCAGAATATATATATATATATATATATCTTTCACCTTATTCCGAGGAACAAAATAGTACCAATTTTTCCGGCATCTTAGTAAAAGCACACGAACTTTTTGAAAGTTTCTTTTTTTTTTTTATAGAGAAAGGAGACCACACTCGGCCTTTTTTTTTTTTTTTTTATATAAATAGAGTAACAAGAGAACTCAAGTTCAAGCAACCTTACATCTTCAAACCATTTCTCTCTTGCCAACTTCTTCTTTTTCACACCTTGGTGTGATAGTGTTTGTAAGTTTTAAGAGGACGTAAATCTTTGAATTTGCATATCGGTTAAAGTAGGATTCTATTGCTCGTTTTGTGACGACTTTCAAAAATACCCAGATGGAGAAAGTATCTAAAATGGCTGCAGAGAANCATATCGGTTAAAGTAGGATTCTATTGCTCGTTTTGTGACGACTTTCAAAAATACCCAGATGGAGAAAGTATCTAAAATGGCTGCAGAGAATGGTGTAGTGATTTTCAGCAAGAGCACATGCTGTTTGTGCTATGCTGTAAACATCCTATTTAATGATCTTGGAGTGCACCCTTTGGTTCATGAAATTGATCAAGATCCAGAGGGGAGAGAAATGGAGAAGGCTCTGTTGGGGATGGGGTGCCAATCACCTGTGCCAGCAGTTTTCATTGGTGGAAAGCTTATGGGGTCTACCAATGAAGTCATGTCCCTCCACCTAAGTGGGTCCCTGGTCCCACTGCTGAGGCCGTATCAGGCTCAGTCATCTTAATCTTATTACTGCATTATTAGTACGGGAAGGAATAAAGCTTGGGCTCTCTTCACTGATATAGTATTATGTAGCTGTGTCCTATGTAGTGCATACTTAGTAGTTTTGAATTAGGTTTGAGCATGTAGCTTAGCTATTTGCCTAAGTTAAAAAGTCTAATTATGAATTTTAGCCTATTTGCTTTAGCTTAATGTGCTCAATGCCATAAAAGAGTAATGAGATGAATGAAATGGTCTATTCATATTTGGGACAAGTTGTGTATATCCAACTATCCGTGATTCTGTAATAGTGATAGTTTCGTATATTGAACTGTTTCTTTTTCCCTACTTCAATGAAATAAGTGTCCCCAAAAAAATAGAATATTGCAAAGTGCGATTAATGTTGTGTCATTCATTAGTCATATGATGTTCTCTCTTATGCTCTCTTCTCTCTTACTCCCCCTCTCTAATACGAGCATTTGGGAGGCAAATTTTTATAATTGTTCATATAAGAAGGACCAATATTACACAATTATTTCACTGCCAAGGTAGATACAAGTCATCATGATTCGATTTAAATCTCCTACTTTTATAGAGTTTCACCTCTATGAACACACAATTATAAACATCACAATAAAAGTAAAAAATCTTAGTAGGACGGNTTTCACCTCTATGAACACACAATTATAAACATCACAATAAAAGTAAAAAATCTTAGTAGGACGGGAAAATGAAACAATTTTGACTTTATTCATATATTAGAAAATAATTTCAGACGTGTAAACAATGTGTCTCACACACAAATACACTCTAGAAGCTCTATATTTCTAGCATTCTTGTTAAAAATTATTCCATGTCGGTAGAATAATATCTCCCGAAATAGTATATTTTTAGATCATTGTCAATTGANATACTTTTGGCATTTTTGTTTAAAATTATTCCATGTCGGTAGAATAATATCTCCCGAAATAGTATATTTTTAGATCATTGTCAATTGTTTTTTAATCGAATACTTTAACATCTTTAATGATTTTGTACTATTGTTACATTTCTAATTTTCAAAAAAGGGGTAAAGAAAATTGTCCACCTTTGTAGGAAGAGGTGCCCATGATTCTTCAACTTTACACCACACATAAAGAAAGGCATTATATTCTTTACTTTTTCCGATTTGTTTGTATCTACTTAATATTTTTTCTATTTTTTGTTGGCTTCTGGAAACATTGGTCAAGCATATGCCAAGCTTGAACTCAGGACAGTTACCAACGAGCTGTTCGGTCAATTGGTAACGACTCAAATTTTCTCGTTCAATATTTGAATTCGAGTTTTCATAGTTACGATAGTTTGTTAAGGTTAAAACCGCTAAACCTATTCTTCAACGTCTAAAGCACTAGGTGAGACTTTAGCTTTGGTCTCTACGTAGATGCGGTGGGGTCTCTTGTAAATAGTTGTGTGGTACTGAGAGATAATACTTCTTAACAGATATGTGAAGTGACAGAAACATTCCAAAATAGNGGTCTCTTGTAAATAGTTGTGTGGTACTGAGAGATAATACTCCTTAACAGATATGTGAAGTGACATGTCTACGTATCCATTTCATATACCCAAAAAAAAAAAAAAAAAAACTCAAGACAATTCCTTGGTGCTAATGGACAAAAGATAAAAAATTTTTAGTATTACACCAAAAAATTATTTTTATTTATCGTAGCATTTGCTATAAAAACAATGATTAAGTTCCTTCCTTGGCATCACACCGTCACACATAACTCCCATTTAAGAGAAAACTATCTAAGAATCAAAATTTTGTTTTAGTATTTAAAAACAGGAACTTTTTGTGTATATTTCGAAAGGTAAGAAAATTTTAAAATTTTGCATTGATGACAGATTAGTTGAAATACATCAATCATTGACAGAAACATTCCAAAATAGTCTTAAATATTCTGATACAGAGAAATTCTAATTTTTCGCTTCTGATTTATTTTTGTTTTCATTGAAACTAAATTATTCTAGTGAAACAAAATTTAGGTAGAAATATAATGCACTATTGTGGGCTTTGTACTCAATCCTAGCTCCCCCCCCGCAATTTTTTTTTTTTTTTTTTTTGAGACTTCAAGTGGAATATGTTTTTTTTTTGTTGAAAACCGAATATAAGTTAATTAAGAAAAGTAAGTAATTTAATTGATAGGTGGAAGTTGTACTAAGACAAAAATAGAGCCTAAAATTACCTAAGTTCAACTATAAGTGAGTGAATGTCACTTTCTAAACTTGAATGGATAATCCAATTGTTGTGGGGTCAACTCTCAACTCTAAGCACGATTTACTCTCAGATGTCTTCAAGTCAACTTATTTTACAGTTTGAAAAAGTTGGAGGAAGAGGAGCCTACATAATTGGAGAGAATAACAAAGTTAATAATGCAACAATTTAATTTTAAGAGTGTGCTTGGTTTTGGGATAAAACTTGTGCAATTCCTATTGATGGGCCAAGCCCAAAGACCTAACTCAGGATGTAAGTCCAGTTTAAATTAAAAGCCCAACGTCAAAGAGATCCAGTAAAATCAAACTTGAAACGGTTCACGCTTGGTTAAGCTCATTAAGTTCAAGGAATTACGTCATCAGGGGAGCATGTAGGGTCATCTAAGAGCTTCCACGCCACCTTGAAAGAGTCAACACTCACATCATTCTTTGACTGAATCTCATGGAGAACACTATAATCGCCTCGCCCGTTGAGAGGAGGTCGATAGATCCAACAGACTAGTCAACTAGTTACTAATATTTCGTCATAATTTGTTAGGAGAGTGACTATAAATTGTAAGTCACAGCAACACTTGAGAGGTATCACACTCAGTCGAGTACAACTCTCCTCTCTCTTTTTAAACTTGTAACTCTCAGCTCTTCTTATGCACTTGAGTAAATAAAATATCTGGTGATCCTAACTATTTAAAGTAGACGTAAGTCAAGTTGAACGAACCACTATATATCTTGTTTTTTTTTCTCTCTCAACTTATTTATTGTATTTAATATTATTTACTTAACAAGTGGTGTACAAATCAATTTGTACATAATCACCTATACTAGGAATGACAAGGGTGCAGAGTGGACAATTTTAAAACGGACTTTTCATTCATTAGATAGAAAAATTCATCAAAATTTTGTGATCTATTGTCAAATTTATTTAAATTCCAAGAGTTCAAATTAAAAAGATATTCAATTCGATCAAGGGACAACCCTAATGTTGAGTTAATTGTATGCAAAGAAAGCGGAGGTGAGAAAGTAGATTAGAACGCATCGTAATTAAAAGAGTCCTTTCATTTAGAAAAAGACAAAATGGACAAACATGAGCTATTTGAAGCCCGACCCAATTAGTTAGATGATAACTACTTCCATTAATAGATTCCTATTAGCCGGCTATCTTGGAACGGAGGTACCAAAACCAGATCTAACAGGAATCTCCAACTTTACTTAAATTTAGATTCAAATTTAAGTAAAAAAATTTAAAAATTTATTCCAACTTTTAACTCAAATTTATACTATATCAAGAAAAATTTATTTTTTTATTCAAATTAAACGAGATTCAAATTTTTAATGATAAAATTTTACCATCTTTAAAAATCTAATAATCATTCTTATTCTTTTTTAAATTTGGGTTTACTNTTTTATCATCTTTAAAAATCTAATAATTATTCTTATTCTTTTTTAAATTTGAGTTTACCCTCATTTAAATTTAAGTTTTACTTTTTTTAAATTTGAGTTTATTCATTGAAGTATTTTATATCAAATTAAATTTTTTATTCAAATATTATTTTAAATTTAAATAAAAATTTAAATTATGGTTATAGATGCTCTTATTAATCTAAATTTTGTGGGGACACTTTGGTGGGCACACTTGAATATATCCACCGTGGTAGGGACACTTCAACTTTTGGGACAGGATAGCAGTTGTCGTATCTCTAGGTCGGTTTGGTTATCTTGCATTAAAAAGACGAATATAGCCCTCAAGACATTAACGTCGGCAACCCCTGTTACCACCTCAACCCCGACAAAAGTAGTTGAAATAGTAATAATTTATATATTTAAATTTAATTTTGATAAATTTTTAGCATTAAGTTATAAGAGATTATAATTTTAATGTGAATAACATGTCTGTAATCAGACTAGAGAAAAAACCAGTAAAAATGTATTTAAGCTGATCGAATTGAGGATTAAATTAATCAAATGTGTATTTAAGTTAGTAAACTTTAACCTTTGACCCAAAAAAAAAAATAATAATAATAACAAAAAATGACTTTCCAATAGCAACCCTTGCACTGGTGAAAAGGACCTGGAAGCAAACAGACAGGCCATGCGTCAAAGACAACCTCTCTCTCTCTCTCTCTCTCTCTCTCTCGTGTTCGGGACGCCGACACAGTCAGACCTAAATCCCTCTATATGATTCTCTGAGAGTTTTTAGGTTCTTTCTTCAATGGCATCTTGATCAGGTAATGTTAGCTTCGTTCGCTCTCTTTCTTTCTTGAATTTCCATCTGTTTGGTTTCCGAGAAAATTTACGGTCCACTCAAGAAAATAGTATTATGAATCGAATTGTGTGGTTACTTCTTCTTATGAATTGTGAGCGACTAAGATTGATCAAATCCAAATAACCTTGATCTGGTCTTTAATAATTCTGATTTCTTCTCTTTGGTACGAGTGTTAATAGAGTGAGAGATATGATCTTTATGAATCTGAGAGTTGTTAATTTTTGTGGCACTGGATTGTGTTGCAGAGAGGTACGTCACGGTGGTCATCCGGGGAATCCGTTGGATCATATGAAGTGCTTTTGCGGTTGTATAACCGGTTATTCAAATGTACTGCTGTTGCGTGTTCTTGCAAGTGACGAACTTTTTGGCGGAGTGACCAAGGTTGGAACCCGGATCATTCTTCAAATTTTTTATATTCGAAATTCTTGCATTTGGATTTCGTTGACTGACGTTTAATTGCTACGGAAAAAGTTAAATAGGACGGAAATTTTTTCAAATTTTTGGAACTTATGCTATTTAGTTTCTAATAATCTGTTCTTGGAAACAAGACTTCATTGAGTAGATAGTTTCTTCTACTATGAACTCAATGTTAGATTAAACACATGATGTTGAATCTTTATTTATATCTGTTCCATCCATACAAAATTAAGGGTATATCTTGGTTTGATTTTGAACCCTGGGTTCTTGGGCAGGTGAATTGGGTAGACCTTTTTGGACCGGATTGGATTTGCAAGCTTGGTGGAGTTGAGAAAGGACTATTATGGCTGAAGTGGAGGAGCATGTTGAACTTAAATTCAGAATCTATGATGGAACAGATATAGGTCATGGCACGTATGCATCATCTACTACTGTTGCCACTATTAAACAAAGGCTTGTTGCTGAGTGGCCTCAAGGTTGGCTTGTCAAACCATTTTTTTGGCCTTTTCATGTACCCACACACATATGTATATATCAGAGGCTATTCACTGTGACTGGCTTAAATAGCTTTCATATTATTATTTGTTAAATGCACAGATCGCCATATCTTTTATAGTTCAGAATTTGTTTCTAACATATGTTGTCCTGCTGCCAGTATTGGTTTATGTTGGTTCATATACTACAGCAGCGATTTCAATACCTGTGTGNATCTTTTATAGTTCAGAATTTGTTTCTAACATATGTTGTCCTGCTTCCAGTATTGGTTTATGTTGGTTCATATACTACAGCAGCGATTTCAATACCTGTGTGGCTTGGATAGATGAAAATTTTAGATTTAAGATAAAAAGTAATTCCATATTTTTTTTGTTTTCATTTCCCGTAACTTATTTGAGTGGCATTTTTGTGGGAATTTACNTGGCTTGGATAGATGAAAATTTTAGATTTAAGATAAAAAGTAATTCCATATTTTTTTGGTTTTCATTTCCCGTAACTTATTTGAGTGGCATTTTTGTGGGAATTTACTGAATTGCCTTGTTAAATAAATCAAACACAATTGAGAAAATGAGGCCTTTGATGACAAAAAAAGAAAAGAAATAGTGCAGACTGGCTGCTGTTGTCGGCAAATACAGGGAGGGGTGGAAACTATTAGCACAACAAATAAACCCGGTAGTAATATGATAAGATAGTTTTCAGGGCCAGCAATTTGGTTGAAGTACATTATAGAACATATGCTAGTATTGTCCTCATCTCAACTGTTATGCAAAAAACACTGCCTCTTTTTATTTGTATGGATAATTATATTGGTATCAGAGTGAATGGTAGGACTCAATATGATATGGTATTATAGGAATAGTGGCATTTGATTTGCCAGTCAATTCAGACACATATATAGTATCCTATATATGAGGCAAAACAATTAGAAGATTGATGTTTTGAAATGCCCAACCAACTTGTAATGGGGAATATTGCAAATAGGCGGGGATCATTCTAAGGGAAAACATAAAGCTATAGTTGAACAGTTGAAAATTTGACTTTTAAAACCCTTTATCTGAGATTTTAACCTTGGAAAAGATCCTTTGTTTAAGTTGTGATTGGACCTGAGCACACCACTTATTTATTAGCAGGTGTTTTCAGCATTACATTTTTCTCTTTTATAAAGAAAAGTTTAGAAATAGATTTATAGCTTCTGAACTTTGAGCTTTTATCTTTTATGACAAAAGGAATTGTGGATCTGTTTATTTCCCCTGATACTTATTTAGGGAATGCTTAAATTTCTTATTTTTCACGCAAACATTTGTTTCCTTTCATTATTCCAGTTGATTGCTTTCATAACTCCAGTAACGGGAGAATTTGTTGGAAGAATATTAAAGAAAATCAAGCAAATTTCAAAAGATCTTTGACAAAGTTGAGCAGAAAGCTGTTTCCAAAGTTTTGACATGTACTGCAAGTATCTTGCTTGTAACAAAATTCCTTAGTTGGCGTAACAGCAGTTGATTTGTAGATATTTACGCATGAAAGCCTGCTTGATTTTAGGCGCCATAGCCCACTCAGCGAGTAAATATATTGAAGCCTGGTAGATGAACAGGAGTGTTTTGTAATTAATTAGAGTTAAATACACGTTCCCTCAATGGACTAGAAAGTATATTAGCTGCAACGGATGAAAAGGTTTGTGTTTTTGCGAATTGGTTGAGATTGGTCTAATTACTCACCAAAACAGTGGTTTTTTTACTAATTGTAGAGATTTAGGATGACTAGTGGCGTTAGATTCTGGTTGTTTGGAATTACAGTCAATTTATAGTATTGTGTATGTTCTACATTTTGTTATGGGAGGTAACGAAGTAAACGTGGGGACATTTGAACTAGTGGTCGTATTATTTGTGATTTGGGTGGATGCCTTGCTTCCCCCCCCTTTTTCCTTTTCTCTTCTTCCTTATTCTCCCCAAGTTGGGTTTTTTTATATTCAACTAGGGTTATGTTCACGTACTGTTTGCAAGTTGTGAAAGCCAAAAGTAAGCAGCATTGGCTTTCAGTCCTTGAAGAATTGGATTACTCCTGGCCCCTGAAATGTAGATAGGTACCTGGAGCTATGAACCTTGTTTCTTTGTTGCAACTTACAGCATGTTTGGTTTCTTTTTTGGTGGGTGCAAAAGAAGGAAAATATTTTTCCTCCCTCCAAACTTGAAGTGGGAACCAAACTAGGGAAAGAAAGGAAATTAAAAACTTTCCCTTCCTTCCCCCAAACCAAACAAGTTCCTTCTTTTATTGTGAATTAAAAGCATGTTTTCCCCCACATTACAATCTTGTCAAAGGACAATTCATCGGCTGTCCTCATCAATTGGTTTAGCTATGTATATAGATTCTGTAGTCATATACGTCTATTTCTATATTATTTGATATGTGCAATATCTTTGGTAGAGTTTGTAATGAAGCCTTTCATTTGCAGATAAGTCCGTTATGCCTAAGATTGTAAGTGATTTGAAGCTTATACACGCTGGAAAGTTTTTGGAAAATAGCACGACACTTGCTGAGTCCAGAGTGCATGTTGGTGACGATCCTGGAGGCGTAATTACAATGCATGTGGTGGTACAGCCTCCTGTTGCTAATAAAAAGACAGGTTTGTTTAGTTCTTCATCCTACATACGGTGAATAAGTGAACTGAACCTGTGATTTGTTTCATCTCCTTAGATTTGAGAATGTGGCTACTGTCCTTTTTAAACTGTTGATGAATCTTTACTGGATGGTGCTGTAGGGCCATTCTTCCCACCATCCCATAAAAACCAACTCCATATGGGAAAGAGAGGAAATGCCATAATATTGGTGACTATATTGCATGCTATGTTGCACACATCAGTCAAGAGCTTGGAAAATGTTGCTCTAGGAAATTGGTTGTGCATTTGATTGTCGTGGCCCACTTTCGCTACTTAGGACATTCAACACGAATACAATGGACACAGATTGTGGTAGATACTTATAACATCAAAAGTTGTCAAAGATAATGTCTTTGTGAGACTCTAGACTCTAGAGTGGACAGAAGGAATAGATTTAGCTTAATAACTGCCTAGTTAATAGTTTCCAACAATCTGGGACATTGGGTAGCTTTGTCGATGGCTTAGAAATATTATCGGTTGTTCGTGTGAAAAAGAAAAAAAATGTATGGCATTGTTTTATAGCTAGAACCAATGGATCTATCATTCTCTTGTTTTTTCTTTCGGTGTAAACCTAGGATCTTAACATTTTGCTCTCTATTTTTTGTTTCGTGCTTTTGGTCATCATGCAGACAAGGATCAGGATGAGATGCGAAAGAACAATTGGTGCTCTTGTACTATACTGTAGAATAAGAGGCATTCTCTGTGGCTGTTCTCCGGACAGGCTCATTTTGACCTTCCTTTTTGTTGTTGGTGTTCTCAGAAATAATGTAATAGGTTTTCGCTAATTGAAAATAATAATGATATCTTAATTGAAACTAAAATGTCTACCTTGACTGATATCTCCCCTTCTGTGTTGTAGGGTTGCGTGTATGCAGGGTTGGGTGTATGCGTGCATGGTGTTTCTTTTTTATTTTATTTTTTTCAGAATGAATTCAGGTTGATCCAGGCCAAGTTGTTCTATAGATCATATCAACTAGAGGAAAACAAAATAAAAACAAAACTGTTTTTTTCGTATGCTCGCCAAGTAAATTCAGTATTAGTAGCCTTGTGGTAGCCTTTAGCATGGTCCATACAATCCTGAACCATTGTAAGTTTACATTACAACTTTTTTTATTATAGTATCGTATTGTTAAATCCGAATATAAGACTATTTTATTTGTTTATTATAGTTTTGCTAGGTGTTATAAAATTATTATAGCATCTTAATCTAGTAATTANTTTTATTATAGTATCGTATTGTTAAATCCGAATATAAGACTATTTTATTTGTTTATTGTAGTTTTGCTAGGTGTTATAAAATTATTATAGCATCTTAATCTAGTAATTGGAGAGCGACCTTTCAATTACCTATGACCAATAGGTTAAAATTGAATTTATGTTGTAGGTATCTATACTGTTAAATCAGGGTACTCCCCGGCTACTTGTCTCAAATTGTCAAGTAATGTGGATGCTGGGCCCTCCTTCTCTCCTCATCCGATGTTATGGCATGTCATTTGGCATATGAAGACTCTCCCTAAAATAAGGCATTTTTTTGGTGGCAAGTTTGCGGCGTCGTCTTGGCCACCCGTGAAAATTTGTTTAGCAGAAATTGTGGCAACTCACCTTGGTGTCAGATCTACTGTCGAAACCATTGAGCATGTGTTTGTTTGGTTGTGAATGGACAAAGAAGGTTTGGTTTGGCTCCGTTTTTGGTTTCGTTTTGTTGAGGATTCTTTTTCTTCTGCTATGCAATGGGTCTTCGCAATTTCAGAAACTATCAGTGATACATCCCGTTCTTTGGAGGTCATGGGGAATATTGCGACTATTGCGTGGGCAATCTGGAAAGGGCGGAATCAGGCGGTTTTTAATCAAGAGCCGCCAAATGCATTCGCTATACTGCTGATTGCAAGGAACTTATGGAGCGATATTTTTGCAGCTGGACAAAGAGGAGTGAAAATCTCATTTGCCCCAGCTGAGTTTGTGATCCCCCCTAGCTGTTGGAGGCAAGACTTTATTCTCAGTTGTGATGGGCTTATAAAAAGGCAAGGCTGCTATCGGGGTTCTTGTAAGGGACGGGATCTGTACAAAGGTCCTGGCATCTTCAAGCCTTCAAGCAGAAGCTATTGCGGTGAGAGAAGCATGTCTGGTAGCAAGTGCAGCACAGATAAAGCATTCAAGAGTTGAGAGTGATTGTCAAGTGATTATTAAACTGTCCTCAGCTGAAGATGACTCCCCTTGGGAGATCAGTGCTCTAGTGGCCGATATCAGATTTTTTGCCAATCATCTCCAACTTAGTTTTTTAGGCAAGCCAAGAACCCTAAATATTGAATGAATGCAACGGTGATACCATGCCATCATTAATGACATGGTATCACCAACCAATAATATAACNTTTAGGCAAGCCAAGAACCCTAAATATTGAATGAATGCAACGGTGATACCATGCCATCATTAATGACATGGTATCACCAACCAATAATATAACTCTAAATTGAAAAGGTGAACCCCACTTGGACTTACATGACAGAAGAGTGGTGAGTTATTTGCTTACAGGTTAGTTATTGATTTTTGTGGAGTCCATCTATTTATTTGTTTTATTATTATTAGTTGGTGATACCACATTACCTTGTCACATGATATCACCGTTATAATGAATATTTTCTCTTCAATAGGGCTTGATTGGATGGCAGCAGCTACGATGACTGATTCGCTTGCTGCGAACTGGGTCAGTTGTCTCTCCCAACCAGTTCAAAGCTTTCCTTACTACTGATTATAATTATCACTTTTCTACTTGAAATTTTACTCACTTTTGATTAAAAAAAAAAATTATGTTGTTGGCGTTAAAACAATTGACTCTACACAAGTTAGAAAAGATATATGAGAAATCCATATATTAATTTCAAAGAAGGAAAATTAGAAGTCGGCAAGTTACACATAAAATTTTAAAAAATTGAAATTACGACTTTATTAAATTGAATTTAGTTGAGTTTACTTACGAAAATAATCAAATAATAATAAAAAAAATATTGTTAAGCGGTTAGCCAAACCGGCATGGGAAACAATAATATCCTAAATAAATAGCAACTCGATGAAGAACGTGATTGGTTCCCTGAGTCCGCCTCTTTTTTCATTTGGGCCCCAGAACTTTGCCGAATTTTTGTTTCAACCGCCATACCCCTGCAACTCTTCGAGGGCTGAGGGGTCCCGAACACCCTAACCCCTAATCTTCCCCAATCAGAGATCTCACCATTTTTTTTCCCTTATTGTTTATCGGTCGCCACATACATTTTCGTTTTCGCTCTGATTGATAATCTTTAACCCTGAACAAAGCTGCCAAACAGTCATCAATGGAAGAAGGTAAAACTGCTGTTAATCAAGAAACCCTAGAAGTTGTTGATACACCCAGGGAAGATTTTGGGAAGATGCTTTATGGGTATGCTTTGATTTCCAACCCTAACGCTAGTGCTCTGCGTTGTCGCTTCCGTGTGTGTGTGTGTTTTCCTTCCATTTTTCATCTTCCTGACAAAAGGGGAAAAACAAAGAAAACCTAACCCTTCACCAAATTTCTTTCAGTTGTTTATTCTTAATTTATTGTTTATTTTGATATAGATGCGAACATTACCGTAGACGGTGTAAACTCCTAGCCCCATGCTGCAATCAGATTTTTACCTGCCGCCATTGTCACAACGAGGCCACGGTCTCTCTCTCTCTCTCACACACACACACACACACATTTTTGATATTGGGAGTTTTTCTTACCTGAGGTTTCTCTATGTGTTCTTTGTTTGATTCAGAGCGCTCTGAGTAACCCCCACGAACTTGTGCGCCAAGATGTCAAGCAAGTATGATATAATAACTTCTTTTCATCTCTCTTTAGTAATCTTTACTGATTACTATCTTTACTCTATGTTGTTGTGTATCCCCATTTCATATCTATTTTTTCAGTTTGTTTGTCTTGCTATCTTACTTGTTGATATTAATGTTCTGGGTTTTATTCTATGAAACTCTGGATTTGGATCGATGGTTCCAGGTTATTTGTGCAGTTTGTGATACTGAGCAGCAGGTTAGATTTTTGTGAAATTGTAGACTTACTCAACTACATTTACTCGTTTTCAAAATTTTTTTTGGAATTGTTTTTAACATCTCAAAAAGTTCATTTCTAAATGAAATTTTCCTTTCTCTGTTTCTAGGCTGCTCATGTCTGTTCAAAATGCGGTGTCAAAATGGGGGAATATTTCTGCAAGACTTGCAAGTTCTACGATGATGATGTAATGCTACTAATTTCTGTTTACTAGGAATTTTGTACTTAATTGTTTAATTTATTTTCTTTGTATGTGATATGATCTATTGCATGTTCACAATTACAGACAAAGAAGAAGCAGTTTCATTGTGATAATTGTGGGATTTGTAGGTTCGTGAGCTAGATATTGTTGCTTTTTAATTTTCTATTTGTTCCAGTTATGGTGTTAAAAATGATTTCTCACGTTCTCTATCCCATGATTTTGTTTTGATACCAATTGTGATTATACAGAGTTGGTGGTCGAGAGAACTTCGATCACTGCCAGAAGTGTGGTATGCAGCCCTACTTAATGGTTTTGTTTCACATGATGTATTGCTTACACCTATAAAAATGTTTTTATCTTGCCTTCAATATATGTCTTAGGATGTTATAGCAGTTGTGGTTCTGTTTCTCTTCAAATCAGACCACTGAAAGAGAATTATTTTATTGTTGTGTCAAGATATAATCATATAATTCAACCAACATCTGTCCTCTTGGGAATGGAAAAAATTCCATTTGCACCGCCATTTTCCTTATGTTGTTTCTGATACATGTATACCTATCAAACATACTGCTGATAGGAAATCAGTTGGTTCTTATATGTAAACCTGTCACTTTTCATTCTTTATCTTTCTGCTGTGTTGTGACACGTGCCCAACAGTCAAATCTAATTTACCCATATGGATGATATAACACATTTTCCATAGTTAGATAGTGATTAACTTGGTATGTGATCCCTGTGGCAGAATTGTTTTTCAATGCATTACCCTAGATAACTTTAGCAGAGAGACAAAATCAGCTTGGATGGTATACAGCTGAGACAGAGGAATCATGATGTGGCTGGGACTTCATTATGGGTTGGGGGTGGGTGGAAAGAGAGTGGTACTTCATATAGAAGGATCTAAAAAATTGTGGTTTACAGATTGAGAAAGTTGTAGAATTTTAATCAATGTCGTTAATCGAAATCAGTAAATTATGAATCTGTGTGATTGAACTGAGCTGGTTCAAGCAGCCCACGCCCATGAGTGACTTGATAATGCTGAATTTGGAAGGAAGTATTTAACCTGATGCTGTTGATGGTGGCGGCCTTTAGACCATGTGGGAGTGGGAGAAGGCCAGAGGGTAGCAGGAAAGCAAGAGCCATTTTAATGTTATTGGTTCAATAGTTAAGAGAGTCAAATGTTAATGCTATTCTCTGGGAGTACAATTTTTAACATTTTGCGGAAACTATCTTTAAGCATAGCCATAGCGAATTTTGTTTTACTTTCGGACATGGCTTGAAGCCTTTCCACTTGAATTTGAAATGCTTAGTGGTCATGATGATCATTTTGAGTTGACGTTACCCGTTTTCTTTACTTTTCACTTAATTGAGTGCTTATTTCTCTCTCCCTCCTGGGCTTTTTAAGGAGACATGAAAAGAGGGGGGGGGGTGTTGTGCAGTTGGCCCATTCATATACTCTTCTCCAGTCATCAGTTATGTTTCTTTATCTGCGCTAAAACCTCAAGGCTATGAAACTTCTAACTAGATATTTCTATAAATGCAGGATCTTGCTATTCAGTGAATCTGCGTGATAATCACTTATGCGTTGAAAATTCTATGAAGAACCACTGCCCCATCTGTTATGAGGTTAATATTCATATCCCTGTGTTTTAGTGATAAATTTTCAACTGAAAAAACATCAAATGCTTGTCAGATTCCGGCATCTAAAAATTCAATGCTCATCTGGCAGTTTCTTTTTGATTCGGTCAAGAGCACTACAATTATGAAGTGTGGACACACAATGCATCTGGAATGCTGTTCTGAGATGATTAAACAAAATCAGTAAATTCCAGCTCATCTTTAATTTTATTCTCTTATTAATCTGCTTTAGTAACCAGTCAAACAGCTGGGTCTGTCACAGTTTTTATAGCTTCCAATTTATTATCCAGGTATCGCTGTCCGATCTGCTCCAAGTCCGCGTTCAACATGTCAACCACCTGGGAAAGATTAGATCTGGAGGTATGAAGTTTGTTTCTCTTCCACTGTTTACCCTAAGTGTGGATATAGAATATGGTTTTTTTACCTCTTTCTAGATTTAGGTTACTTCCGAAAATTCTTGCCTAGATGTATGTAAATATTTCTCACTGGCTCCAATGGTAGATCAAAGGACTTTTCTTTCAGTTAGAATTTTTTTTTTTAGGAAGAGGGGGGTTGGGGGGGTGACTTTTGGATTGGAATATTTTAAATTTTCTGAAGCAAATTATCCTGTTTTTCGTTTTTATATATTAGCAAAATATTAGCTTTATGAAGTTAGTGAGTGCCTTCCAATAAGTTGTCCCTGCATGATTAAGGCTGGTTTTTTTTTTAGCCTGGTATTTGTCTTCTGCCATTTAGCAATTTATTTTGTATGTGTTTATGATTCTGTATTAACGGCAAAGTTTGTTGTTGATAGATTGAAGCTACTGCCATGCCCGAGGAATACCATTATGAGGTAAGGCCTTTTTAGGTGAAGGAACTCATTCGAAACATTTCTTGTTAATAATCCCCTTAGTGGCGATCTCTGGTCCATTTGACTAATAGTCCTTTGTTCACAATCTCATTACATTGTAGTTAGTTGAGATGGGCTTACATGAGGCTGCTTCTGATGCCCGTTTCGGGGGAGCAGCTTTGTCATAATGCGCCCTTCATTGTTTTAGTATCTGTTTTGTGATCTCTAATTTTTTTTTTTTATGAAATTCTGATTTCTGAAACGTTATGAATTCAAATTACAGGTTCCAATTCTCTGCAATGATTGCAACATTACTAGCAAAGCATTCTTTCACATTTTTGGCCACAAGTGCAGCCACTGTAAATCATACAACACCCGGGTGATTGCACCAGCAGATAATCATCCTGACCATGGGAATGAATCTGGATAGTTTGATGAAATGACAATGATGCCACATTGTATCCTCCCTAATTTGTTATAGTACATTTTGTTCCAGCATATGGGTCATTTCCATTTTACACACTAGAAAATGTATTGTGTATTGAAATAGTTTCTGCAGGTTTCTCCTTTCAGCTAGTCTCGTAGAATTAGTTCATGCTTCAATTTTGTTTCATTGAGATTCAAATGTCATCAGACACGCTGCGCTGCGCTGGTGGGTTGATTGTGAGGTGTGGTGTTGACTGTTCATCCACTAACAGCAGCACAGTGATGGGTTTTTCTTTTTGCTTAATTTTTTTTTTCCCCGGTGGTTGAACCTATTTTTAAGGCCTGCCCTGTGAGCCTTGACAGGTGATTCTAAGAAGATACCTAGTTTGGCATTTTCTGTGGCCATTGGTCTTTTACATTACAAGTGATAACCATTCCATTTTACAGCAGTTGATTAACTGAAACAGATTCTTTGGTGCACTGATGATGCCAATACTTTTTGTGAGGATCCGACCTCTAGGGTCCCCCATGGATTAAATTTAGCATTACCATCTTTTATAGGTTGGACAAAATAGATCAACCATATGGAAAGCATTTAGACCAAAAGGCCACCCTGTTCTTTTTTTTTTTTTAATGTTTTATGGCAGGGTGTTTTTTTTTTGTTGGGGGGGGGGGGGGGGGGGG